TTAGTATGTCATCTACATATTGTAAAATGGCCCCTCCTTGTAGCTGTAAATCTCTAAGATCCTTTTCTAATACCCTAGCAAAGAGATGGGGACTGTCCCTAAACCCTTGTGGCAATACAGTCCAAGTATATTGCTGATGTATCATCATCTTTGGATCAGTCCACTCAAAAGCAAATAAATACTGAGAGTCAGGATGCAAAGGGATGCAGAAGAGGGCATCTTTTAGATCTAATACTGAATACCACTGAGCATCATCTGGTATCTGTGAGAGCAAGGTGTAAGGGTTAGCTACTATTGGATGTAAAGGGACTACTGCTTCATTGACTAACCTTAGGTCCTGGACTAGCCTGTATTCTCCTGTAGGTTTCATCACTGGTAAGATGGGAGTGTTGCAAGGAGACTGACAAGAGACTATGAGCCCATGTTGTATAAATTTAGTTATGATGGGCTGTAACCCCTCCAAAGCTTCTTGTTTAATAGGATACTGCTTCCTGTGAGGGTAATCTGACCTGGGTTTTAACTGGATTTTAACCGGTAATGCAGTCTTTGTTCTTCCAGGAATCCCTGACTCCCAAACTAGTGGGTTTACTGCATCCAGAACTGAACTTGGGATTTCTTCCTGATTTCGAACACTACTGATTATCATCACCTTACTTAACTCAAATGGCACTTCAGGGAACAACAAGATGGTTCCCAACCGAGCTAAAAGGGTCCCGGCCTAACAGAGGAATAGGGCACTGAGGAACAATTAAAAAGGAGTGTTTGAATATTCGACTCTCAAATTGGCAAGTGATAGGGAATGTATAAAAATATGCCTTAGGATTTCCTTCGACCCTCATTACCTTAGCTGATTTGGAGGAAAGAGGTCCAGAGTAAGAGTTAAGGACAGAGTAAGTGGCCCCCATATCAACAAGAAAGTCGATTTTCTTACCTGCCACATCTAGAGTTACCCAGGGCTCCTCGGTAGAGATGGGAATATGAGTATTCCCTGGGGCCGACCTGTTCCCCGGGCACCTTCAGTCCTCAAGAGTAGCCATGGCCTTGGGAGATGACCCCTTTTCACTATGGGAACGGGGGCAGTCTACCTTCCAGTGCCAGGGATCAGAACTGAAGTTCTTGCATAGAGGACAGGGCCTCGGAGGTGGCTGAGTGCAGTTCTTTGACCAGTGTCCAGAGCGCTTGCACTTATAACAGGTCTGATCCTTTTGCCCCTGATTCTTTTGGGGCCTCCCCGAGCTCCCCTGATGGGGCTGGTTTCCGCCAATGGCACTACTAAAGGCTAGTGCAAGGAGCTCTGCTTGCTTCTCCCTTTCCTTCTTTCCCTGTTTTCTTTCCTCCAAATCCCTATTGTTAAAGACTGAAAAGGCTGTATCCATGAGCTGATCTAAGGGGATCTGCGGGCCCATTTGTAATTTCTGAAGCTTCCTGCGAATATCAGGGGCAGATTGAATTATAAAATGCTGTCCTATCAAGATTCGACCCTCCGGGGATGAAGGGTCCAAGTTTGTATATTTTTGGAAGGCTTCTATTAGTTTGTTTCTGAAGAGAGCTGGGTTCTCTTCCTTGCCCTGAAAGATTTCCCTAACCTTTTCATAATTTACAGGTTTCTTGATGCAGTTTCTCATTCCTGCCAGTAAGCCATCTATCATTGCATCCCTACTCCGGATCCCTGCCTGAGTATTGTATCCCCAGTCAGGTTCCTGGTCCGGGACAGCTTGGGCAGCTGGCTGGTTAGTGCCAGGGTTCTGGGTATGCAGCTGATCTGCATACTTACGAGCCTCCTCCCAGATCCGCTGTTTCTCGTCTGGGGAACAGCAGGTGGTCAGAATTATGTACAAATCCCTCCACGACATACTAAATGCTAGAGTAAGAGTCTGGAAATTACTAGTGAAACGTGAAGGGTCCTCTGAAAAACTCCCTAGCCTGTCTTTACATTGTTGTAAATCAGTTATAGAGAATGGCACTTGTACCCTTATAGCACCTTCAGGGCCTGCTACCTCCCTCAAGGGTAGGAGTGCAGGAGTGGTAGGGAGATAAGAAGCGCCACTTCTAGTATGTCCTGCAGGGCTGGGTTTTTCCTCAGCTGGTGGCTTTAGGTTATCCATAGCATAAGGTGGTGGAGAGGTCACTTCCTCTAAGGTTGGGGCAGAGACTTCAGAACTCTGGGGTTCCCTTAATCTCTCTTGAGAGACAGGTGGGGAGCTAAGGAGGGTATCTTCTAATTGATCAACACTTGGGCCTGTAGGTTTTGTCAGGGTGGGGCTGGAGCAAAACGAGGGATCTCGGTACAGAGCCATAAACACCTGCACGTAAGGAACTTCAGACCATTTGCCTTCCCTCCGGCAGAATAGATCTAGCTGTAGGATAGTATTATAATTTGTGCTCCTATTCTCAGGCCATATCTCTCGATCCCCTAATTTATACTGGGGCCAAACAGTGTTACAAAAGAAAACTAATCTCTTCTTTTTTAAATTTTTTGGGTCAAATTTATCCCAGTTGCTAAGAATGCAACCCAACGGTGATTTGGAAGGGATGGAAGATGTAGTTCCCATCTCGACTGCGGTGATCCTAAGAGAGAAGGAAAAGAAACACAAAGATACTCCTTTGCAGACTAGAGGCGTCCCTCTCTTTGCTGCCCTTAGGAGATTCCTAGTGGGCCATGGGCGTCCCCTGGGATCCCACCAAACTACCAGACGTCTCTGGCAAAAGAAATACTAGTGAGTGTCGGCCAACAGAAATCTAAAAGACTTGAGAGAATCACCACAGTCTACTTTTGTCTCTAACTATTGGGAAGGAACCAGTCCTGCATTCTTGAGCAATTGCCTATAATCCTGAAAATCCCGGACTCTACCCTTGTGGCCCTAGTACATTTCCATTTCTGTATTCTTCATCTACGGGGACCCTCATTTTCCTGTAAGCTTTAAGATCTGGGGCAAAGGAAGTGTCTTACTAGAAAAATAATTTCTGGCCCTGTAAACCATTAAGAGGAGCACCAAGATGATCTTATTATAAAATGACTCTTTTCCAAATCACAAAGAAGATCCTTAAATATTCTATGTAATTTTCCAGAGCTTTAAGAAATTGTACCTGCGTCTGAAATCTCCCAGAAGGGACCTCAAGCGATGTCTAAAACACTACCTTTCATACTGGAGGCGGATCTCATGGAGGGACAATGAACTGAGAGGGGGAAATTAAAATACCCTTATAGGAACAAGTAAACCACCTTAGAATTCCAAATTCAATTAATTAGGTAAGAGTGGCTCTATGCAGCCATTCTAGTAACCAGCGACCAGCAGGCACCTGTTGTGCAGTTCTGAGCGATGTTGCTGCTTACAATGATAGTATACACGTGGCAAAGATGGGAGTGGCTCATTCCTGCAACTGTACTTAGCGCTAGCCTAACAATGACCCCAAGGTAGATATCTTAGTACAAAGACAGCAGGAACCCTTCATACATAAAAGGCAAGTGGGGTGTGAGTGAAGGTATAAAGACCAGAAGTCAGTGGGGAGGAAAAGCATAAAAGACTGTCCATGGGCCTGATGAGGAGACTGCAAAAGGAAGTCATAGCGCAGGTGAGGTGGTGACTGATATCCCGCTTGGAAGGTCCGACTATGCCTACTGGGGGAGTGGCCGCGGGGTGGGGCAGTGTTTTGTGCTTTCCACAGTGTGCCTGACCGTTGTGCAGACATTTTCTTGTACCTGGCGGGGACTAAGGCTAACCCCGTTCCGCATCCAAGTTATCCTATCACAGGAGTCTTCAAGCGGCGGGTGCCCTTGTGGCTTTTAACTGCCCGACCTGTGCCCGCAAATTAGCGGCTGACCTTCCATCACGGAACATCAGAGTCACCGAAACAGAATGGGTGATAACGGAAAAGGGCATCCTGGGTGTCAGAGCAGCAAAGGGGGCTTACCACTCCGGTGTCTTCTCCTGGCTGGCTCGCCAAAAACTGTCACAGGTGTGCACAGGTAACCAGATTCTTAGTGATCAAGGACAAAGAATTGAACCGAACACACAAAGTTTATAGCATAAAGAAAGAGGGGAGGTTTATTAAGTGATAGTACACGCCACAGGACACGGGCGTGAGCCAACCCTGAGCAGAGAAGAAAAAGGGCACGTGGGCTGGGGGATTCTATTCTTATAGGGGCAGATGCTTCCTGGCTAGTCTTTGGTGGGCTTTTCCTGCTCAGGTACAAGGAGTTGGATTTCAAAGCTACTGCGCATGTGTGGTTTCTCATGATTTTCTTGATTGGCTACTGGAGAAGGGAGTCCCACAATGTTATTTCATTATAATGATATTATAATGAATCAGGGGTAGCGCGCAGGCACATTCTATGATTCAGTTATCCCAGAAAACAGGAACAACCCGTCTTAGGGGGTCTTTGTCATGTATAGATGTTTTCTACCTCAGCCCTTCGGGGCCTCTGGAGCTTCCTTCCTGACTATCTCCTGCCTCACTACTGTTGTCTGTATCTATGAAGTTTATTGATTTTGGTTTTGTTTTGTTTTGTTTTGGCTTAGTCTTTTCATTTTTTTACAGTGAGTTTTCTTGTAAGAAACAAAAAGTATCAGCATCATTAGCCTCACATATTGGACTATATTTAAGGGAATGATGGGACAAGATGCTTAGATGTGGACATGTTTTGAAAAATTCTGTATTATAGTGGACAAAAATGTGTGCAGAGTGTCTGTCGGACTCCTCGAATTGAGTAAGTCAGACCCTGGCTCTCATCACAGACTAAAAAACTGACAAAAAGCGGGATTCAATTGTTAAGGTGCCAAACAAACGCACAACTCTATTGCCACCTGGATTTTCACTTTTAATTGTCTCGGTTAGAGACTACTTTGGTGAACTATGTGCCCCACTGGACACTCCGAGCTCTATTCGCTGAGTCAGGATTATCCCCTAGTAGGTCAGCGATCCATTTGCTGCCTGCGGGGCCGCGCCGCGGGAGCGCGCTCCGGAGGCGTCCTCGGTGGTTGAAGAGGAGGAAGAAGGTGGCCTGGGAGCGCGCGAGGCCTCACGTCTGCGCGCCCACGCACCCGCCCGCACTCCCGGGAAGTCTCGCGATGCCATAGCCGTCTGCTCCCGCTGCGAGTGGCTCTGGCTGTTGCTGTGGTTGCCCGAGTTGGTGCTGCTGCTGGTGCGGCGGCGGTGGTGCTGGTGGAGGTGTCGGCCCTTGGGCGGATGTTGACATTGTGTTGTTGTTACTGCTGACGGTAATGGCGGCGTCGGCGAGGGCCGAGATCCCGTCTCCTCTGTAGCCTGTGTTGAGACAGTCAAGAGCCAACTCCGGGGCCTCTGAGCCCGCGGCAGCGACTCCGTTCAGCCTCCGCTGCCTCGTCGCCCATCTCCCGGCCGCAGTCCCTGGAGCCAGGGCCCTTTGGGCAGGGGTCTCGGAGGTTCAGGATGGCGGATTTCGACGAGATCTATGAGGAGGAGGAGGACGAGGAGCGGGCCCTGGAGGAGCAGTTGCTCAAGTACTCGCCGGACCCGGTGGTGGTCCGCGGCTCCGGGCATGTCACCGTGTAAGGCCCGGAGGAGGGCGAGGGCGAGGACGGGAGGTGCGGGGCTGGGGACCGGGGGGCGCTTTACTCTTCGGGAACCCCATTTTCCCGGTGTCTGTCTTGTGTCCGGGGCCTAAGGGAAAGGAGACGACCGGGAAGTGAGAACTTGCTTTATTTTCGTTTGTTTCGTTCTCCCAAGTGGGGTCCTTCCTCCCCAACACCCCTTGTAGCAGGCCCTACAGGCCTTGGGGCGATGTGACGGATCCCAGAAGGGACGGTTTTTCTTTAGAGTCAATCCTTCGGGACACCCCTTGAGCTTCGGGGTGGAAGTACACATTTATGAGGTCCCTCCCCCTTGTTTTCTCATCCAGTTACCCTGTGGTTCTCTCATCGTCTGGGCCTTTGAGCCTAGTGACATATGGCTTAGAGGCTAGGTCTGGGCCGCGTGAGACCCCAGTGACAATCGGTAACTAGTGGTTCACTGTCGTCGTCGTGTCTGTGTATTTCACACAGATGCACAGGTCTTCCCAGTTTCTTGCAGTGCTAGTTTCTGCAGAACTGATGCAAGTTCCCGTAAGTGTGTATGGTGAAAATGTGCAGATGAACGTATAATTAAGATATACAGAAGGATATATGTGTACAAATATTTTTTTTAAAAAAAATCTGTGTGATGGACCTGCTGCTGAGGTTACTGAGAGTTACTGTAAGTCCCTCTTTTGGGCATGAACTCTGGGATGGTTTCTTTATTGATGAGGGTTTTTGTAAGTATGATTAGCAACATTTAAAAGTCTGATATTCAGACAGTAAGGAATGAGAGCTTTCCGAATGGTCATGACTAATAAAGGAATGTGAAGACTTGAACCAAATAAATGAGCAGTCCGGAAGCAGGAAGTTTTGTAATGTTTCACTGAGAAGTCCAGAGTTTTATACAACTGGAACTATTTATACTCTTTTTTTTTTTTTTTCATTTTAGATCTGTTGTTCAAATTGTACATCAGGCTTCTGTGCTTGTCAGATATCTCCACCCTTCACATTTTTAGTAAACTTAAAAGGGCTAGCAAATCTGAGACTAACAGTTTTCATTATATTTTGGGATAGGGTGACTGGAATGTGCAATGAATAACTTTTAGTGAAACAGTAAGACTTCTTATATGAGATTGTCAGCAAAATCCTTGCATTTGCTAGTACATGATGTGACTAGCTGTGTTGCTGTTTGGGTATGCTTATATAGTGCTTTCATTTCTTTAGCCCTTGTTAGTTTATATTCAGGTGATTTAATAGGGTAAAAACACTGCATAATCTCTCACAGCGCCATGAAGAGACAATGGAATTTATCACCACAATAACAGTTACTTAGTGTTTTAACTGTCATCACCAGCAGAATTAAGAATTATAACCAGCTATCTTGGATATTAAATCTCTCTTGAATATATTTCATGAAACTTTTTTAGTCTCATAGTCAGCCATTTAATTTTTAGCTTGGTATTTTTACATTGTTTTACACCTAAGGAGTATGTGGGTGCTTAAAAAAGGGATTTTCAAGCTTTTTTATGCTATCTGCCCATCTTACCCTACATTACTCATGTCAAAAAAAAAAGCTGGCAGAATTTTGTTATTTAAAAAGGTGCAGCTATAGTTGTAATGTTTCTCTTACAATTAAAAAAAAATTTTATTGATTTTAGTGGGCAGGGAGAGAAACAGACAGGCAAAGATTTGTTGTTCCACTTATGTATGCAATACAACCTTGGTGTATTGAGATGATGCTCTAACCAACTGTGCTACCCAGCTGGGGCTATTGTCTCTTTTTAAGGAAAAGAAAAGCTAAGCACTTTGTTGGGTAAATGGAAAATATAGTAGGCAAAGTGTTCAGAATCAAATAGGTGGTCAATTAATTTAATTGTAGTTGCCTACTTAGAGAGGTGAACAAGGTGAGGGAGAATTACGAGTGGTTCTCAATCTCAATCGTAGCTGCCTATTGGAATCACCTAGGAAGATTTTCAAAAATCCCGATTTTGCCCCAGGTCAGGCCAATTGAAAGCTGCATGTCAGAGTGAGGGCCTCAGGCAAGGATAGTTTCTGTTTTTGTTTTTAAAGTTCCACCAATGAATTTTTATGTGTATAATTGCAAACCACTATTTCAGGGTAATATAAGGAGGGACTATATGCCACTGGTAAACAGTATTCCTTTCTACTTTGGGAGTTCATATTTCTGTGATTTCCCTCAACCACTTCCCTCCCTTTCTTTCCTGTTACGGTGGTTTTAAGTTCTTGGTTGAAATCTACAGTCTGCCAATTCTTGGGTAAATTATTTATCTATGCCTTTTCAGTTAAGCTAGTTATAAGCTGCAGTTAAGGGATAGTTATAGGCCCCAATTTTTAAGATTGTTAAGGATTAATGAGACAGTACTTGCAAATAATTCATCACATTGTGTGGTACTGTGCTCAGTAAATATTAACCTTTATTAATTATCCTCCACACATACAATGATTCACTCTGAGAAGCAAAAGTATAAAGCACAGTACTAAGAAATCTGAACTGCCATTTTCAAACCTAACAGTGATTCACTTTAGTCTTATTTTTCCATTTGTAAAAATTGCATGAGGTTAAATTACGTGAAGTGTTTTAATGAGCACTATTAAGAATATCTCTGCATTGAGAATCTAAGCCTGTTTTGTGGTGACATAGGTAAGTATGGTAATAGTAATACAAAACTTTTTTTTACCTGTCTCTGTCTTGCATAATTCACAAGCACACTATGCCAGCAGGTAGCCCAGTAGTACCTGTAAAGGTTTTTGAAATTAGTGCTTAAGGATTACTAGAACTGTTGAGCATGTTCAGTTTTTCTTGCCTTTAACTATAAATGGAAAGAGCTATTAAAACAGGTGTAATAAGATTGGTTAAACTTATCATTGCCACTGCTCCTACCCCCTTCTGTAAAACTAAGGAGCACTCTTTTATCAACTTGAAAGCAAGTGATAGTGTTTACTGAATCTTCTGTAATCCTGATTAGTTGGGAAATCCATATGTGTTTTTCACAGATTTCACTATTGAGTAAACCTTTATAGCTGAATATTTCTATTCTTTCCCCCCTGCTTTAACATATTATATTATGGCATTTTATTTTAGAAGTCACTGTATTCTCAAATGATTTGGTATGTTATTATAGTGATGTGAAAAACTAAATTACTTTCCATTCTGTACTACACAAGCAGGTCTTGGTTAATTTTGGAACATAATCAGATTTTTGGGACATAAGGATATAAAAAGTATAATCTGCCTAAACAGTCTACTCTAATGTGGTTTTTACTATAAATATTTTCTTTTTTTAAAAGAGATTTTAAAAGTTTATTTTTAGAGGGGAAGGGAAGAAGAGAGGGAGAGAAACATCAATATGTGGTTGCCTCTTGAGCACCCCCTACTGGGAACCTAGTCCACAACCCAGGCATGTGCCCTGACTGGGAATTGATCTGGAGACCCTTTTTGTTCACAGGCTGGCACTCAGTCCACACCAGCCAAGGCTAAATATTTTTCATATTGACCCCAAATCAGACTTATACTTGTAATTATATCATGATCAGTATTCTTAGTATTCTCTGAATGAGTATAATAATTTCCTTGTTAGAGTTGCATGTAGTAATATGGAGCAGTATGGCAGCTCAAATAGAAAGAAATTTTGTGCAGAAACATTTTGACAAAATCAGATTTGAAGGAAGAGAGGGAAATGATAAGTTCCTGTTTTATATTTATGTACATGCATTTTGAAAGGTTTGCTTTAAAATTACATGTACATGTAATTACACATTTCACTTAAAGTAAGTTTCGTGTGTGTGTGTGTGTGTGTGTGTGGTGGGGGTCATATTTCTCATGTAATGAAGATGAGGAAAAAAGCAATTAACTTATTAGGTAGTATTGGGAGATAGGTTAATATTTTTAAATGATGGAGTTCTTTACCCCTTAATTCGTACAAAATGTAGTGATCATTTGTAGAGAACTTTGTTTTTTTACAGTGATAAAGGATGTGTTAATCTAAAAATTAGAATTTAAAACTAGTTTTGGACCGGTATTTCCTAGCTAATCTAGCGTTGTACCTGATACTATTTGCTCCTTTTCGCTTCATGACCTATATGAGAATCAGACTTGGAGCTTTTCCACTGTTTGATTTCTAGACATTAGCCCTAGACTTAAGCCCTTTATAGAGCCTTGTTATTTTGCTGAGGTTTGTTTCTAATGTTATTCTTTCATAATTTCACGAAATTATCATGTACTTACTTCTGAGGTGTAATCTTCCTACCATTGCCACAAATCATTCCTCATCCTTCACCAGTTTTTATCAATGGCTGTGGGACATCGCTCTCTTTGCTTGTCTTCTCAGGTATGCGGTGAAAAATTGAAAGGTTTAGAAATGTGACTTGAAAAAAATTTGGAAACTACTTTGGAGTACAATAGGATCTTCACATAGGAGATATCACAAGAACACCTTGATATTTATTGAACTTTCTATTGGTAGAGTCAGTAAAAAATTGTCTGTCTTGAAGTGTATCAGTATTTCAAAACTACCAGTAGATGCAATGGGTAGCAGCTGCCAGAGACCTGAGGGAGATTTACCCAAATAACAGAATCACTTCAATTAAATAATTTTAGTCTCATAACTCCCACCTTCTTTCCCCTAGCCAGCATAATATATAAGGCATATTTGATTTTTAAATAATAACCTTTTGTTTTACGATTTTTGAAGACCTTATTTTTCTCCACAAGGCTAAGAGTTGAGGTCAGGGATTGTACTTACTGGTCTTTATTTCTCCACTGCTTAGTATCTGTCTTGAATATTATAGGTCCTGAAATGTTCTCTAAATAAATGAGATGATTCTGTACATCTTTGGATCTTAACTGTCTCTCCCCTTTCTGTGTCTCCTAATGAAGGCAAACAATGTTTTTTTTTACATTGGAACTCGTATAAAATCACATTAAAAGATAAATGGCTCCTCTTTTTTTTAAGTTGGTAATTGTGAGGAAATTGTCA